TACTTCATAGCACAGCGAAAACTTTGAATATTTTGAGGTTCCGTACAAAAGCAAAAGTAGCTGCTCTTTTTTTAAATTGTAAGTTGTGGTATGAAGAATACTCGTTGTTCAAACCCAAAGGCACGAGAGTGGTGCTGATGTAAGAGATCCAATACTAATAATTATTTGGATTCAAAGCATAGACATCGTCGAAGTCCAAAGTTGGGACCAAATTGCACTTTTTCTTGTTGGTGCTAGATGGGGACTGATGCCCGATGTACGAAACCAACATAATGTGAAACAATGTCCCACATCTTTTGAGAAAGCAACTCAACTTAAAAGCCCCACCATTGTGATCATTAATAGGCCCAAATTATGAGCGAATCACATGGTTTTGTCCCTCAAAACTCAACTTTCTTCTACATAAATTACCCTAATGCTAGAACTAGGAAACTAAAGAAAAAAGAAAAGAGCCTGAGGGATTCGAAACAAAATTTTTCTTTATCAAGTACCACAAGCAATGCTTTTCAGTACGTCTTGCACTCTTGTATAATCAACAGTAGAGGAGAAAAAGTAGAAACAAGGAAATATAGAACTAATCTAGGGGCTTTACATGATGCTGCAGCTCTCTGTGTTCTCATCACTGAAGTAGTGAGAATAAGAATCAACAGGAACTGGAGGGGGCATGGGTGGGTGCCCATAGTTTGTGTGAGGATATTGCCGGGCATACATCGTAGGTTGATACATATCATTGCCATTTGGACGGTGCTGATTGTTCATCATCATGGCCATGTATTGCTGTTGACTGTAGGGGTTCCCTGCACCCATCCCATTGCCATTTGGACGGTGCTGATTGTTCATCATCATGGCCATGTATTGCTGTTGACTGTAGGGGTTCCCTGCACCCATCCCATGATAGTATCCACCATTCATTGCTGCAGCTGCTGGTAAGCCTTGCACCGCGGGGAAATGTCCCATCTGACCCATTGGGTAGTTACCCATTTGGCCCATCTGAGCCAATTGACGCATCTGAGCCATTTGAGCCATTTGACCCATCTGGCCCATCTGGCCCATATTTTTACCCGCACCTCCACCACCGCCATCTGCACCACCTCTTCCTCCTTTGCCATGGTTAATGAAATCGATATCATGAAACCCACCATTTTTCATTTCATGGGACCCATCGTTCTTGCCTCCACCTTTCTTAGCTCCGTTACCATTATTTTTCCCTCCCCCACCACCTACACTGCCATCATTGGATTTGGAGCTTTTATTGTTTCCGTCTCCTCCATTTTTACCCTTCTTATCACTACTCTCCTTCCCACTTTTGTCCCTCTTTAAAAACCCTAGCAACCCACCACCACCCTTTTTTTTACCACCATTCTTATCTCCGCCGCCTTTCCCATGGTATTTGCCTCCTTTGTTACTCTCACCACCGCCACCCCCTTTCTTTCCTTCCTTGCCATCCCTTCCTTCTTTGTTTTCACCGTTTCCCTTCATTACCATGGGCATATCAATGACAGCTCCTTTCTTCCCAAACTCAACAAACCCATCTCCCTTTTTACCATTCATTGGAAACCCATTAGGCCCATGTGGTCCATGGCCCTTACCCATAATGGGCACCATCTTGTTATGCCCATGACCATGCCCAAAGTCCTCCATATCATCCTCCTCGTCATCAAACTCATCCCCAAATTCATCAAACTCATCCCCAAATTCATCAAAATCGTCATCACTGGCATCAAAATCATCCTTAGGCAAGCTGAATTTAACAGATTTCTGGTCTTTGGAAGGTGCCTTACTGAGTTCCATAGGGAATCCCTTGATCTGCTGTGGAGCAAATTTATGGCCACCATTCTGCTGATTATTCCCACCCTTTTGAGATTTGTTGTCCTTCCCACCTTTCCCGAACTGGTTGCCTAGATTATTCTGGAACCCCTTCTGAGCTCCCCACAGCTGTGCATGTTTTCCTGACTTCTCAAGCTTCCTGATGAGAACTCCTGGATCAACATCCCCTGTCACTATCACTTTTCCCTGCTCTGTATCTATACTGGTAGTATAAACCCCTGAATCAAACAAATTTATGACCCATAACAAAAATTAACAAAATAAACTTAAAAATGAAAATTTTAAAGAACCCAAAAACTGAAAGTTACATAAAGATGGAATAATCATAACATACCATCAATTTTCTGCAAGAGTTTCTTTACTTTCTGCTTGCAGCCATCACAGTGACACTGGATATTCACTTTGAGAACCCAAGTCTGCAATAAAAATGCAAACCTTAGAAATTAGTACAAGAAGACACTAGGAAGACGGAAATGGAATAGAATATAGATGAAATATATATATGTACCTGCATCTTCATGACCTCTTGTTTACTCATTTTACAAGAAACCAAAAGAGGGTTTCAAGGAAAAGATGATCTGAGATAAAGATGGAGTGAAGTTCAAGACAGAAACTGGAATGAGAAGAAGTTGCAATTTTGGTTCTTGGCTGAAGAAAAGAAGATGTGTAGGGCAATAAGGTTTATAAAAGAAAAGCTTGGGATGCTAAAGGCGGTTGTTGGGCATTATGGACTGCTGCTTTTTAAGCTTTCTCGAGTTTCATTTCTTGGGGAGGAAGAGAAAGAAAGGCGGTTCCAAGGGTTGTGAGGTTACCGTATCACTGAGTACAAGCTGGAGATGGCTTTGGCTTTATATTATTGATGCTCCAAAGTTAGCTATTTACAGCAATTCAGTTCAACTATTAATATTTAATAATACCTCTAAGCGTTATGTAATTTGATAGGATAGGTTTAAAATTTAAATAGTAAGATTAAAATTTTAAAAAATTAAAATTTTAAAATACATAAAATTAATATAGAGATGCATTAAGCTAACCGGATAACATTGTGGAATTTAGTATACCATTGGCCGAAACTTGTTTCAAACCATAGATAAATTTCTTTAACTTGCAAAGCAAATGATTTTCCTTTCCAAAACCTACAAGTTAATTCATGTATACTTGTTCATCAAGATCCCGATTTAAAAAAGGAATCTTTATGTCTATTTAATGTAAC